CAACAGTTGGCATTTCTGAGCGAAGGAAGGCCTGGAAACATGGCAGGTTATCTACTTCTACATAATAGCTATCATAGCCATCTGTCTCTTCGCTGGAGGCCTGCACGGGTCGATTTTTCGAACCAGAGTCGATCGAGGATGCCGAAAGGCATCCTCAAAATTTTCATTTCATATCCTTGAGTGTTCCAAATATGAACGGTGCATCTAATTTGAAATCTATGAGACGAAACTCGGTGAAAATTTGCATACATGCATGGGAGTTCCCGATACGGAAATGTATCCCTCCTATTGATCCAGATCGTGGCCGTTCCAAATGTGCGCAATGCTTCTCATTTCAGTGTTATGGAACGATCGATCAGCCTCAATTAGAGGGAAGTGAATTTTTCATTTGTAACAGCTCGCCCTCATATATTAAAGGCTAATCTGTCCGTGTCATTCCGAGAAACTCCTAGACGGATGAACGGATTTTCGTGAGGTCGATCGAAAACCTATGACCTGGAAGCGATACTTATTGGATCAAAGTCTAAAGAGTCTTACCATTTTGATGTAAAAGAGCCAAATTTCGACGATAAGAATAGCATTGTCGGCTGCGGACGTTGCTACGGCAACTGCTGGCAATGATCTTCATGTGTCAGCTTTGTCTTGTTACCATGCCCGTCTCGGTTTACCACTGTGCTTCACGTAAGTCTGCAGCGTTCAGTTCTGTTTTCAAATTTTCGAATTTTGGTTCTGCTTTCAAAAAGCCACGATAAAGGCGAGAAGTTATCAGTTTTAAAGTTAAAAGTTTACTTGCAGCGCGATCTACTGAACGTAAAAGAAAGAAAGTCGTTCTGGAGTCGGAGTCAGCCTATGAACGAGCAGAACGGCGTACACGAAACGCTACTGCCAAGGCCAATGAAACTGACGAAGAGAGCAGAAAGGCGTGCAGGAAATGCTTTTATTCGACTCTTTTCACCCCCTGCGTGCACGGGCTTTTACGCTAGTAGGCCTATATAATAATAGCCGACGTATATTGGTTTTCGTCTACCCATCCGCCGGAGGCCTGCACGGGCAGAATTTTCCGAACCCAGCCCCGATTCGAATCATGCCTGCATACCCTTATACGACCCGAAACTCGTTCGCCGACCGAACTTCACCGGTCCGACCCGCAACCCGCTTAGGCCCCTAGCTTCAAACCTGGAGGTCACAGATTCGCCCGCATCCGACCGGAAACTTTAGCCAAACGAGCTGCACACCCGATCTGCAGGTCTAGTCGGTCCAATCGAGCCCTAGCAGAGCTCAGAGCTCCAGTACTCGATGCCTCTGGAGGGCATCTTCGACTGGAAGGCATCCTCGACTTTTCATTCTTTACCCTAGGGTGCTCCAAATCCGAGTGTTGTGTTTCCTTAAAGTGGATTTTTTTATTATAAAAAAAATCCACCCTTAGAAACCTATGAGAGTATTCGCTGAAAATTGTTAGAAAGGGAAATAGGAGGATTTTGATGACGGGAAGCGTTCCCATTTTCCATTTGAAAACTGGGAGTTGCAAATTCGTAGGGCGTGTCTCACTTGAATTCTATGGGACGGAAGTCGATTAGCCTCAATTAGGAGGACGTGAATAATTCACGGGTAACAGCGAGTTGTTTCATAACAGCATCGGTCAATTAATGCGAGACTTCAATGGGTTCTTACACAACCTGATTAACTGCACATATGCATTTCACTCCAAGTGACTAGTTCTTTGTCAGGTCAAAAAGCTGAATCATCAGAATGATCCAGTGCGAGCACTCAACTGTGAAAACGTCTTTAAGGATGGAAAAGGGGCAGGGACGTCATTTAGGGGGGGCAAGGGGGAGGGGGGCAGTTGCCCCCCCCCCCCTGTTAACAAAAATTCGAGTCGCCTGCCGTTGGCCGCACCGAAACAAAATAAATTGAGCGACAAATTCGCAAAATTCGAAAGTTTCTGGCTCTCCGCGCTCTTGCCGTAAATCGATTTCGTGGGTGTCGAAACGGATCGCCTGTGCCAGAGAACTTCTGCGAATCTGCTTTACGCCTCTTGAACTCTCATTTGAGAGATTTTCTGCTGCCGAGTGCAACCATGTTAGTAGTTTCATCTAAATACCATTTTCTTGCAGCCAACTTTACATGACAACGCAGAGAGGATTTCTGGCGCCGATTTAATTTCGTGAAATCCTATTATGTTTTTTTTTTAGTACATAATTTCGCGAATTTTGAATTTCACGAACTCCTTGTTTTGGCCATTAGCCGATACGGAGAAAATTCACGAGCGATTCAATTCCGCGATTGTCTATGCCTTGTAAAATTCGCGAAATTGAGCAGGCGATAACATTTCTGTCTGAACTGTTTTTTTTTTTAGGGCTGTCCTCCTATATTAGATTAATCGATTAAAGTATTAATCGCAATTAATCGAATTTTATTCAACACCCCAATCTCCCCCAGAGTGCCTCTTATTCCCCGTAAAATTTATCTGTGAAGTTCATCGTTTTGCAAAACAAGCGGAAACGAATGCCTTACCAAGGGAATGAAATGTAATGATGGCTTATCGAAGGTAGTAATTTTCGCACTGCTCATTCTTCCTCAAAAACGACATCCTATTTTTTTTTTAGCAAAAGGGAACACGCAAAAACAAAGCCATCGCTTTCAAACAAATATAATTTAAAATAAAAAAAAAGCTTCCTGGCCCATTCGGATCCACAAGCGTATTTGTTTTAAATACTAGCGTGCATCCCGCGTCCTTTAAAGGCCCACGGCCTGGAAAGGCCTCGCTCGTTGGGCTGAGGTAGCAGAGGCCTAGGACAAAGCGACCGAAAAGTCACTGGATGCGAGAGGGGAAAAGAAAGTCGTAATGACGAAGCTGCAAGGGAATAGAAGGAATAGGGAATTCGCACAGAAATGAATAGGAAATTCGGGCAGGAATCCGGGATAGGAGAGACAAGAAAGAGGATCATGTAACGAATGGAAAGTGAGAGAGGCGTACGTGTAAGTGTGCCGGGGGTCTGTGGGAGCACCCTGAAAGTAACCGGAAGATGGGGAAAGCCGGAAGCAGGCGAAAGAAGAGGAAACGAAAGCGTGAAACCCAATACTATTCTTTGCTCTTTCTGTTCTTCCATCCTGTGTCGCCTGTGAATCGATAATGAATCTCTAGATCTCCACGTGGTGAAGGGTCACTGTATAATTCCAATCATTTGGTTACATTTTTGCATCCTCCCGGTACAGGTCGGCTAATAGCAAAAGGCCTCAGTGCGTTTCTTTACTCACGTTTCCTTATTCATCTGGCTAAGTTGTAATTATGCGTTCTCCGATTGGAACGCGTCCTATGTAGGTTGAATCAGAGTGTATGGATAGTAATTGCTGCTGGCGACTGCATCGCCTTGAGTCACTTCCTAAGGTCCGCTTAGGTGTCGGGCATGAAATACGCAGAATCATGCCTCGGGGCAAGATTCAAGGAAGAACTAAGGGATCGATGAATATTCGATTAGTCGATTACAATTTTTAATCGATCAACAGCCCTTTTTTCTTTTCAAGTTGCACAGCTTCTTTGCCCCCCCTTGGAGTTTTACTAAATGACGTCCCTGAAAGGAGTATATTCACCTCGATACCATCGATGCCGACACCCTCGAGGCCCAAGCCACACCTACATATCCTATCCATTTACACGAGGAACAGGAAAGGAGTAAGATAGCCTGTTGTACCGCATGCATAGTACCTGCAATCTCTGTAAAAGGATTGTGTGGCCCGCAGTAGTCGAGCGTTAACCTCATACTCTCGCAGCATCTCTCCAAGTAAATGGTCGTGCGGCTTTTCGAGATAAAAAAAAAACACATGTAAACCTCTTTGGCACATTCCCAATGTCTCTCGAGAATCTGGTGGAGAGCAAAGAGCTCATGAGTGGTATCGCTCTCTTTTCGAGCACCTTGGCATAGACCTCACCAGGTATGCCGAGGAGCGTGATTCCACGGCATATGTACAGGGTGGAGCAAAAGTCGCGCCCCATAGGAATTTTGAAAAATATAAGAAAAAATAAGCTTTTTTGTTTATTAAAGTAAATTTTCGAATAGTTGGTCATTAACTGCGAAGCACTTTTCGATTCGACGAGTTCGCGATGTCTGAACCTGTCTTAACACACTGACCCTGATCACTTACCTGGAAAGGAAAATATATATTTTTTCTCTGTGGGGCGTGACTTTTGCGCCACCCTGTATATTTCCTCGAATCCCCACTTTTAAAAGAGGAACCACCACACCGGTCTGCCAATCCATAAATGTCGTCTCCGATTCTCATACCTACCCTCGATTACGCCCAAAATTGCAAACACGTTTTTGGGCAGTCAGGCGCATGGGACAAAATGCGCGAACAGCTGAGGTGTAGAAGCACACCTTATGCCCATACTGTTCGTGCATCTGCAGCTTTGCAGGTGTCAATCCAATTGTGATTAAGGTGTGTCCGAAATATTCAAATCCCAATTTGCATTCATTGTGAAAGGCATAGCCCAGCAGGTCATGAGTGAAGACAGCAGGAAAATCTGACTACAAAACTATTTCTTCTTAATCAGAATATTATCCAGAGGATTCTTGGCTATTCATAGTATTCAATGTGTTTAATGTGTTTGCACAGTACTGGTATACTTGGAGCTGTTGTAGGTGTGAGAAAAACGTTATTTCCTGAGACATCTAGCTCCTCATTGACTGAATTTGCTGTAAGCTTACCAGTGGAACAGTCAACATGTGAACAAGTTGTTTGGTGATTGCACCAATGAAATGCATTTCAAGGCCTATTAATTGCCACCATTCACAACATAGGAGAACCACACATAGTGTGCATGCAAGTGAACACCCCAACCATTTGCTCCAACCCTTAGCATACAGCTGTTCTGAGCAAAAATCTATACACTTTTTGAATCTACAACTACTAAAAAAAATATATTGAAATCAGGGGAAATTCCTCCAGATTCAAATATCTGTTACAAAAATTAATGCTAAAAACAATCCCAAGGTGGCAGATGCTGAGGACATATGTTTTATTTCATGGATTGCACCAATATCTACAAAACTGCAGTATCACGAAGACTTTACACACTCTAACTCTGGGCCTAAGATACTTGGGCTTAGGAGCTCTTCCCAGCACGGTAGTGCTTCAAGTTAACCAAAACCCAGGCAGGGATGGCAAGGATGGAAACTGCAACAAATGCTCCATGGAATAGCTTCTCCTGTTGAGAAATAAGTGATCAAATCATGCGAAGATGTACTTAAGGTTTTCATTCTTCACAGGTGTCAAGATAATCTAGGAATTGTCACTATACCCACCCAGCCAGCATTACAGCATGCAAAAATATGTCTGGTAACAAGAATATGTTACATTGTTCAATAGCTGATTTATGACTTATGATTTCATCAATGCAACTTCTCTGATGAAAGAACAACAACCAATAATTGAGTGCAAAATTACATGCTTTGTCCATCCATAATAAAACTTGTGGATCTCTCCAGCATCTTTAATAGCTGGCATTACTGGATCCGCAACAAGGCATTGGTGGAGGAGTAGCAGTGACACCAAATGTCACCAATGTTCACTTTGACATCCTATGTCTTGCTTTAGAACTGGTTGATTTCCACACAGCTTTCATCAAAAGGAATCTTAACTTTTTCTCCCTTTATGCTTGTATAATTTTTTCTTTCAGATTGAAATATAGCAAGGCAAACAAACACTTAAGATGTAAACTTAATACTGAGACAATGTATTGGTGTTCAAGTCAGGCATGCTGTCCAGGCCTGCCAAGAGCACAGGTTCACTAATACTTGGCAGCATCCTTAAATATTTACAATGGATGAAGTCTGTTTACTATTATGTTTACACTATCATGTATGAAGGAAGAGGGTTGTATGGCTAGATTAGGCCTACTTAAAAGGGGACCATGTCATGGGGCACTATTCTAAATGCTTGAAGTGGCCATTTTGTATCCAGTGATGGTTATGCATTTTAAACTTTTAGGTATCATGGATCACAAATCTCACTTACAAAATGAGTAAGGAGTACGCTATGTTCATGCGACAATAGGTTGACTCTTAGCAACAAAATGTGAGAATTACTGTTTGGCCTGAAGAGGCTTAGTCAGATCAGAAAGCATTACTCACTTTCAAAGACATTCGATGTCTTGGCATGCCTGCAATTATGTGAGGGGTGTAAAATCGTTTCTGCACTTGAAGACATGGTTTTTTGAGGCCCTGCAGGCATGCAGCACTCCTTGCAGCAGAAGTCAGCATTGTACCTAATTGAACTGGTCCAGTATAACTCCTATCAAAACAAACAGAAGAAGTTATGGAATTGAACCTAAAATATGGAAAGCATGCTGGAAGTGTTTTTAATTGAATTCAACATCTTTTCACCCTGCACCAATATGCCCAAGGACTATTCCAAAATTCAGGTGCCCCAAATATTTCCCTTCACACATTAATTTTAAATATAAAACTAGGAAAAGACCTGTGCTGCTCCAAGCTCCTGCTCCAAGTGGGATATTGTTTGTCTTGTGTACACCCTCCCTACCTATCGGGGTAAGCACACCATGTACCCTGTAATTCTTTCCTTCATCATCTAAACCAGAGGTTCTCAAACTTTTTTGGTTCACAACCTGTTTCCTGGGGACCAAAAGCTTGTGACCCTCAATTTTCAGGTTCCTGAAGCTAAAGAGAATTGAGTATAAACTAGGGTTGTACTGATGTATCGGCTAACACTGGTATCAGCTGTTGGTGTTGGACTATTGGCCACATCGGCCATCGACAGGTTTGGAACCAGCCAGTGCCAATGTTCAAAGAAGAACGTGCTGAACAAGGAAAAATAATTTAAAAAACCACATGAACAGAGCTCAGTAACCAATTCTCAATGGCTATAGGAAAAAATTAGGGCTATCGCAGTACATCCATCAATCTATTGATGTCATTTTTTATAGTTGAGGTATGATAGGCTTTACCACCATCACGAAGGTCACACCTCCCCCTCCAACTCCTCAAATCACAGGTAACAGATTATGGACATCGGATATAGGTCTGCACCCTGATCCCGGCAAGAAATTGCAGAAACGAGGCAGAAACCTGATCCCAATCGCAGTGAGAGAAGACTGAATCTGCCGACACCCCCACCAGCATCAATGCACTATCGATGTTTCAGGTCAATACATGGGTGTATTCAAAACACCCAGCTTGGAAGCAATAATAAAATTGAACATGCATTCATAATATGTCTATTTGACTTTTAAAAAATTTTGTCAAATGCTTTTTCACTGTTTCTCTACACATCACAATAGGCACAGGCACCAGTACTGGTACCGGCCAATAGGTATAAGAAAATAATTGGCCCATTGGCCAAATGTGGCCACCGGTACAGCCCTAGTATAAACCATCTGAAGATAAGAGATTATTGCATTTCTCCAATTCCACTGTAACCCCTTTGCGACCCCTGGGGGTCCTGACCCACAGTTTGAGAACCCACGATCTAGATATTTGCAAATCCCCACTTACATCACATGAGCCCTGTTTTGCTCCTACAGAAGGGGGCATGATTTCCAAGGGTGAAAGTGATTGGACCCCATGTTGCTGGCATGAGACAAGAGTCCATACTCTTCGATAGTAAGGGCATCCTCTGTCATGTCACAAACATAAGGGTGGGAGATCTAATCCAGGTGAGGGGGTTTTCTTCCCTCTAGCAGGTGACATGGGGACTCCAGGTGCAATACAAGTGGATGTGTTGAGGAAGGTCCATAGGAAAGGTGTGCTCATCCCCTAGGTGGGAGGTTCAATGCCCCTCAAAGGTGCAAGTCCTTTCTTTTCACATTTGACACTCTGAATTCTCTATCTTGGGAAATTTCATTGCTACGCACTCTATATCCCCTTGGATACAACAGACAATACATGAAAATTATTGCATGAGTCTCAACATGGTGATGAAAGAAAAATGAAATGGTTCTTCCTCCCAGCTAATTCTCCACCACTGGTTTGCTAAGTTGGGATAGTGTATCTTTCATATGATAGCATGCCTGACCAAGGAAAAGCAATTAAACTCAACTCAAAAACAATGAAATGTGGGAGGCATTGAGCTCTCAAACCTAGCCTACAATAGAAGAATTCAAAGCCCACGCCCATGAAAGGTGAGCCAAACATAGGCCAAGTCTTAGCTTTCACTGATTTCGGAATAGCTTTGTGGCAACATAATTAGAGTCTCTTGTGGTTGACTCATGTCACAACATCTCAAGGCCTATCCTAAGGCTGTCCTCCCTCAACTGAGACTTTTGACATTTATTTTGGACTTCAAATATTCAGCTCTCCTGATTGATGGCTACATTAGAGTTGCAGAAAAATTGGAAATCTATAGGCTTTCCTTTCAAACAGCCAACCCTATTCATACTGACTCAAAATGCAGGTTTTTCACAGAAACTCTACGTGAAGCATGGCTCTTGAAAGTGACTTTTGTTAGGAGAGAAGGATCATCAAAACATCACCTTGGTGTTTCGTACTCTCTTGACCCTAACCAGACATAATTAACATTCTATGCAGATACCTTCACTTATAAAACAAATCAAAATCTCATGTGAAAAAAGAATTTGGCCTATGCATAAACTAAGACAGTGCAATGTAACAAGCTTATGTGGAATATGGAGAACAGAGGGGAGACAAGGTACTGGGATTCAGTGGTTTCAGGTAGCAGAATTGCCCAGCAATCAGGAATCCCAAGTTCAATTCCTTGCCATTCCCTGGTATTCGTTCATACTTCCTCTCATACCTTTCTACATCTATCTCCATTGTTTGATTTCCCCTAATGATAACGTTACGTGTTACAACCTTTAGCATTACACTCAGGTGTATTCATACAATATTCAGTGACCCCAGCAATCAAGCCAGAAAATGCACCACTCCAACGGGATCAATGGGGAATTATCTCATTAAAGCCTGGCATTCATGTATCCTAGGCCTGCCCGATTTCCTCAACTCGTGAGAAAATCGAAAAAGGTTAACATTAATGAATAAGCCTCGACCTACATGAAATCCGGACAAAACTCCTCGCAATAGATGAAAGGTATTGTATAGAATCTTTAGGTCTACCTCCATTGCTAATTTTTAGTTACAGCAGACTTTGGGCTAGCTATCCTGCTGCCAAAAACTTCAGAATCAAGAGTAGCGCCTTCGGTGCTGCACACACGACGTGCGGAGGGCCATTTTCTCATGGCCATGGTGACGTCAAAACCAAATGTGACGTCATGATTCGATCCTTGCGATCCTGTTCTTTGGGGGCAAGGGACTTTGCTATGGAGTAGATATCACTGTGCAAACAACATGTATGCATTCAGGTATATATATAAAGGAAGTGTCAACATCAGATCAATCGGGGCTCTCGTACAAACTCGAGCCAGATTGTACGCCATTCCAGCGGAAGTGGGACAGAGAAATATCCAACAAATGCGGAATATTCTTATTGTGTAAAACGGCAAAACTCGAGCGGGTTTTGGCCCAGCACTGCGCGAGGAGACGGTTGGAAGGAAGTCTCTCGCCCCTCTTAATGGGCCACCACATTGTGCGACTCCTCGTTCACGTTCAAGGCTCGGGCAGGGACGCCAAGAGGCGCTCTGGCTCCCCAAGTGGAGGTCGAGCGTTATTATGGATAGTGCTTTGAGGCAGACATGTTCATTTCCGCCTGCTGCCTTGTCGCCTTACAGCTGAATTTGCTCTCCCTTTTCTGTTTTCTTCATGAAGGCATCTAGCCTCTTCTTAAAACTTGGCAGCCCCTGCATCGTCACTTAACGCATTCCACGCTCAACACGAATGCCTGGTTAATTAACCCGGCATTCGTGAGGTGTGGTGCACGAAACCCATCTACTTTATAGATCGCCAACCTCACGTTGACACGTTTTCAATTTCGCATTTCTCTGCTCATTATGGGATGCCGGATCGTGCCTGAGATCCTATAAAATTTGGCTATTTTCGGCAGAAACTTGAGTTTCTCATCAATTCGTGATCACGTGATCAATCAATCAATCGCGATCACAGCGTTTCTAAGTTTGCGTCATTCAACTTATCCTCACCGAAAGCGTTCAGAGGCTTTTCGTCATTTTGACCGGTGTGATCTCACGTTTTCCCATCGGCAACTGCTCCTGTGCTGAGACTGGTCTGCAGTTTTTGAAATTGACCGATGCCGTTGGGTCATTTATTCGGAATTTCGTCCTCTTTCGACTGCTGTAAAAACTAAGGTTTCGGATATTGTTTTTTTCTTCTTTTTTTACACACAAAATAATTTTTTCAAGAGCTTTAATCACCGTGTGATGAAAAAAAAAATATTTTATATATAAAATAGTCACCGTGTGATTAAAATAGCTCCCGAGCGGGAAGCACAAAAGTTGTGTTTAAATCTGTCTTGCCGCTTGACGTTTATAGATAGCGGCTTCAGAACCGCCGCCAAGGCCCGAGAGACCGTCGCTGATGGTGTCGCTTGCTCGCTCGCTTTTCTCGTCTTTCGCCGCTTCTCACGATCATCCACGGCTTTTATCAAGAACTTCTCCGGAAATTGCCCTCGATCCAAAATGGACTCAAGACGCGGAAGGGGCTCGTCCCGCCGTTCTCCGAGGAACGCGATCGCGACGCGAAGCTCCACCAATCAGGAACGCGCCTGAGAGTCACGTGACCCTCGGTACGACTCCTCGCGATTCTCGCCAGTCCCCAGATGGCGCAGGTATAGCTGGTGACTTACTCTGTCCCTTGCCAGTGGCACATAAAAGCGCATTTGTGCATATAAATAAGGAAATGACGTACCCTTCTACTTCTTGGCTCTGCGTGGCGCCAAATCAGCACTTTTATAAGCTACTCTTGTTGAAGTTGGAGCCTGACACAATTGCACGTTTCGGTTGGTCTTATTTAAGACTCCTAAATGCCTCATTGCTAAAACACGTCTTTTAAGTTACTTTCTATATCCCCCCCCCCCACGCACCTACTATCGATGTATTTATACGGAAATAGAGGCATGATTGCATATGTTTCACGGAAGTCCACCAGTTGTCGTGATGAACGGCATCCAGAAGATAAGTTCATTAAGATAAGTTCATTTTGGTGAGATGCTGTGGTCTTGAGGGAAGTATTGCACGAAATCCTTTTAGTGAAATCCGTTTCGATCGAAATCGGGCTCGACGGACATCCGAATTCGTAACTGCAAAAGCTGAAGTTGACAAAAACGAAATCTAAAAGGAATCTGGGAATCCGGTCGGGAATTCATTTTGGCCCCCAAAAAAAAAATCGTTGAGGAATGATGGATTTTTGCGCCCCAGCAGAATCCTAAATCTTGCTACATATACCGTGACGCACCATCGCTCAAAGGTGACACGAATGGCGTTACCAGTCACCGTTATCATCGTTATAACGCAGTTCCCCCAGTCACTCTGAATCCAGACTTTTCCTGCTGGAAAAACGAAAGCACGCCGGATGATGGCGAATTCCAAACCCATCCATTTTCTTCCTGTGTCATAACGAAACCTGTGTCATAACGAAACCGCGGTCATAACGAAGTCCATTGACGATGTCGATGGCCCTAATCCGCCTTTCTTAACTGAAATTCCCATCATAGGAAAAATTGGCGTTGGTGAGCCAATCTTTCCTGGAATCGGCCTTGAGAGTCACGTGACTGAATGAGGGTGAGGGTGGGATAATCCCCAGTGCATCATCTTATCCCCGGATCATCTCATCTCCGGTCGCCATTGCATTTCTCGTTGCGAGTGGAAAGCGAAAGATTCCTTCGCGATCGAAAGGGGGAAAAATGCATGAATAATTATTAATTGAAATGATTAATTTATTAGCTCGAAGGAAAGTCGCAGACATCCGTTTCCACAATTTCCACAATTTCGGAAAATCGTGGCAGCTTCATCCGTGCTTCATCCGTGCTTCATCCGTGCTTACGAGAACGCTTCGTGGATCTGTCGAGATGACGTCGACGAGGCCTTGCTAAAGAAGAAGTTCGAGGCGGAAACAAGTGCGAACATTGCGATTAGTGGGTCGATCCCGAAACTGAAGCTAGTGTGGCAGTACCGATGTCCACCGGAGTCGTAACGTCGTATAGCAATTTGAAGACAGGAAAAGGGAATGCCAATAAAGGCAACCTCGGTCATAATTACGATTTTTCCCTGATTATAACCGAGTTCTACTTGTCATCCTGCGTTCTACCATGACGAACTGTAGATTGCATGGCGATTGGCATTTCGAGGAAGACTGGCGGCGTCCGCTCGTATTTGCCCTCGCAAAAAAATCCATTCTGGCTGCATGCGAAATCACCGTGTTATCGTTTTATTAACGAGCTTTCCGTGAGTGCTAGAGAAACGAGCTGCTC